GGCCCGGACCCGGAATTTCACAAGTATGGGAATTTCTGATTTTTTGGAATTTTTCCGATTTTTCGGAATTTTGGAATTTCACGGATTTGTGAAATTTTTGGGTTTTTAGAAGTTCCGGATTCTGATCCGTACATTCCTGAAACGCGCCGAAGATGCGCCAGCTCTCGAACATTTTTCAAAAAAAATGCAAAAATTCCGAAAATTGGAAAGTTCCAAATTTTAAAAAATTCCAAAAATCCGAAAATTTCAAAAATCTGAAGTTTAAAAAAATGCAAAAATGCAGAAAAAAAGCGAAAGTTTAGAAAAATTCAAACATTCAAATTTCGAAAAAAAGAATCAGCTACAGTAACCCTCTTTCTTTCCAGATCTATGGAAACGGTACCCAAACCAGGTCATTCCAATACGTTACGGATCTCGTGGATGGTCTTATCGCCCTCATGAATAGTAATTACTCCCTTCCCGTGAATATTGGAAATCCCGAGGAACACACAATTGGAGAATTCGCCACTATCATCCGGGACCTGGTTCCTGGATCGACTAGTGAAATTGTGAATCAAGAATCCCAACAGGATGATCCACAACAACGACGTCCAGACATCCGGAGAGCAGCGGAACAGATTCAATGGAGACCACAAGTACTGATGAAGGATGGTCTTTTGAAGACGATTGAGTATTTTCGAGCAGAAATTGATCGGAATAAGCGGGGAGGAAAACCACCGCCAGAGCCAGTGCGGCATGGTGGTCTCGAGAGTCGGCGATAGGAGAAATCACCTTGGAATATCGATTTTTAGAAGATTTTTAGCAGAAAATTCCGAATTTGGCGAACTGAATTTTTGAATTTTCGACCTGGAAGAAATCGATTTTTAAAAAGATATTCGAATTTTTTTCTCTTCTTTTTTCTCCATTTTTTTGGCATTTTCTTGAAACTCTCTTTTACGAAATTATCGATTTTTTTAAAAAGATTTTGTGCAGAAAATTCTGGAATTTTGGTACTTTTCTACTCGAATATTTTGATTTTTCGTATGTAAAATTTCCCAATTTTCTGTGCAAAATCTTCATTGTCTCTTCGTTTTTCAGTCTTCAAAACGTTCTCTCGATTCTGGCATTTTTCTTCAACTTTTACGGGTTTTTTCTCAATTTCCTATGCATTGTTCCCTGTTTTTCCAGTGCTGACTTACATAAAATCCCCTTTTTGACTTACATAAAATCCCCAAATTTGAATTTCCCGGTTCTTTTTTCTACATTCACCCCCCATCATCTCTGAAAATACGCGGTTTTTTGTGATTTTTAAAACTTTTTTCGAGATTTTATACACAATTTTTGCTACTTTTGTATATATAGATCTTTCTTTATATTGCATCATTTTTCTAGAGATTTTTATTGAAAAAATGAAATAAATGGCATTTTTTAACTCGAGTTTCGTA